CCTGACTGTTTCATGCCTAGTGGGCTGGGGCCTGGTTGCCATGTGCCTGACTGTTTCATGCCTAGTGGGCTGGGGTCTGGTTGCCATGTGCCCAATTGCCTCATGCCTTGTGGGCAGAGGCCTGGTTGCCATGTGCCTGACTGTTTCATGCCTTGTTGGTTAAGGTCCAATTGCTGTATGTCATTTTGTCTCATACATGGCTGTCTGGGGCCTGGTTGCCCTGAGCTTGGTACTCTCAGTCTCATGCCTGGTTGAATAGGGTCTGGTTGCAATGTGTCAAATTGTTTCATACCTTGTTCAGTGGGATCTGCTTGTCTGAAGTTTAATTGTCTGATGGCTGAAAAATCTACGAGTGCTTGCCATGAATTTGAATATTTTTTGTTTAAGTGGCTTGAGCTCCATTGACCTGCATCTTTTTGTCTGAAGCTTGCAGAGCTTGACCCCCATTGCTGTGGTTCTCTTTGTTTCATTCCTGAATAACTTGGATCGGATATCCATGTATCTGGTTGTCTCTGTCCTGCATAGCTTGGACCTGGTTGCACTGTGTCTGATTGTCTCATTCCCTGATTGCTTTGGTCTATTTGCCACATGTCTGGTGGTCTCCTACCTGGATACCCTGGACCCCATTGCCATGAGTTCATTTGCTTCATGTTGGGAGGAGGTGGGCCTGGCTGCCATATGCTTGTTTGGCTCATGCCTGCTTGATTCATGTCTGGTTGGCTTTTGCCTAGGTTTTTTATATCCAGTTGGCTTGGTTTTGGCTGCCTCATACCTTGTTGGCTCATGTCTGGTTTGCTCTTGACTGGCTGGTCCATGCTTGGCCCTGGTTGTTTCATATTGGGTTGGCTCGGGCCTGGTTGGTTCATATCTGTTTGGCTTGCACCTGATCTTGTCACACCTGGTTTGTTCATGCCTTGTTGGCTCATGCTTGGCTGGTTGATGTTTGGTTGGCTGGTCCCAGGTTGTTTCATATTGTATGGGCTTCTGCCTGCTGGGCTCATAACTGTTTGATTCATGTCTGTTTTGCCTGAGCCTGATTGTCTTATGCCTGGGTGGTTCATAGCTGGTTCACTTGCACCTGGTTGTGTTACATTTGGTTGGTTCAAGCCTGGTTGGTTTTTGCCTGGTTGGTCCATGACTTGTTTGGCAGCTGATGGGTTGGTGAACAACTGGCTGGCTTGTAAGAGTCTTGATAGACAGGATCTTTGGACTACAATGCTGTGGTGAAAAGTTATCAGCTGTTTCCAGTTTGTCTAAACTCACGCTTGGAGATAGTTCTCTGTCATGATGGGAATAGGAACAGAGGTGACTACCTGAGGAGGGTGATTGAAGCCTCGAATTTGCTGGAGTTGGCTTCACTAGAGACCACAACTCCAAACTTGATTGGATTTCAGCCTGCCATCTGGTCTTTTCCTGCCAACAGGCCTGAAGAGGAAGAACAAAATGATCCTGGGAGAGTGTTACCACATGACCCCTCCCCCAATCCAAACTGGAATGCATCATAATGAAGTCACAATGCCAGTGTCTCTGTGCCTATGTGTTGTTCTTGGAAGTGGTGAGGTAAGGGCAGGGCAGCAGCGGCTGTTTGACTGGCTCTCCAATCTCATCCCAGCACTGTAGCAGTATGCTTGCAAGTGTCTCTCCTCCCACTCTATCTCCATTCTCTGTGGAATTTCCTGAACCTTGGTGTGGGCATAGCTTTACACCTTCCTGTGGACCCTCTCAACCCACTTCTAGCTCATTCCCCTTCCTTTGTGTTAGCCAAGGATATCAAGAAACACTCTCTACTTGCAATTTCCACTAACCAAAGCAGACCTAGACTCAGGTAGGTGAATTTCACTTTGCTTCATTTCCTTCATTACAATCTGTCCAGCCTCACCCGATCCTTGTGTCAGTCTGCTTGCAGGTACAGTACCTCCTACCTCATCTCCATTCACTGGAGATTACAACTATGAATACAGACCCAGGATTCCCCTGGTCTTTTATCCCTGTCTTTCAAGATTATTCTTTGTTTTACTGCAACCTACTTGAAGAAGCCACTCCTATCACACCTTGAACTCCCTAGGAACTCTGATTCTTGGTAGGAACAGAATCTTCTTAGTTCATTCCCTCTCAGCCGTTTCTCTGAGCCCATCTCTATTACACTTCACCACCCACAAACCTGCAGAGGTGTTCTCTATCAGGCCACACACACAGCTACTACACTTTCCTAAGATCCAGAGAGGGCAAATGAAACCAAGTAATGGCATACCCACCCAACAAACACAATACCAGATATCAACACCTAGAATCACCTCAATCATCCTAACTCTAGATTCCTAGACAACAACACAAAAACAAAAATATTAACCCCAAGATAATATGTATCTACCAGAATCTAGTAACCCTACTACAGTAGACTCTGAGAAATGCAATATAGCTGAAACACAAAGCAAGGATTTCAAAGTATCAATTATGACTATGTTCAAGGACCTTTAAGAGGATATGAATAAATGCCTTAGTAAACTCTGTGAAAACACAATCAGTGGAATGAAATAAAGAAACAGTTCAAAATACAATAATAGAAATAGAATCACAAAAGAAAACCCAAACTGAAGTAAAACTGAAAATGAAAAATTTAGGAAGTCAAACATAAACCTCAGAGATAAGCTTCACCAACAGAGTACAAAACATGAAAGAGAAAATTTCAGGCTTTGAAGAAAGTAGAAGAAATGCATACCTAACTCAAAAAAAATATTGAGTATAAAAATACACAGGCACAAAAAGATCCAGGAAATCTGGGACACTATGAAAAGACCAAATATACAAATTATAGCAATAGAGGAAGGAGAAGAAATCAGGGTCAAAGTCATAGAAAATATTTTCAACAAAATCATAGAAGAAAATTTCCCTAACCAAAAGAAGGATGTATCTAACAAGGTATAAGAAAAATACAAAATACCAAATAGACTGGACCTGTCTTACAACACATAATAATCAAACCACTAACTGTACAGAACAAAGAAAGAATAAAATCTTCCAGGGAAAACGACCAAGTAATAGATAAAGGCAGACAGCTTAGAATAACACCCAATTTCTCAATGGATACTTTAAAAGCCATAATGGCCTGGATAGATGTTCACAAAAATCTAAGAGACCACAGATGCCAGCCCATACTACTATGCCCAGCAAAACTATCAATCACAAGAGATGAGAAAGAAAAAACTTTCCTTGATACAGCCAAATTTAAATAGTATGTATCTACAAATCCAGAAGGCACTAGAAGGAAATCCTCAATCTGAAGAGGTTAACCACACCCAAGATAACACAAAGAATAAATGATCGCAGACCAATAAATCAAAAGAAGAGGGAAAACCCATACTATAACAACAAAATAACAGGAGTAAAGTAGCACTACTCATTGATAACTCTCAATATTAATGGTCTCCATTCCCTAATAAAAACACACAGAATAACAGACTGGATTAGAACACAGGATCAATCTTTCTGTTACATCCAAGAAACACACCTTACCATCAAGGATAGGTACACATTCAGGTAAAAGGATAGAGAAATGTATTCTAAGCAGATGACCCAAGAATAAAGTAGGTGAAGTTATGTTAATATCCAACAAAATAAACTTCAACCCAAAACTAATTAAAAGATGCAAAGAATAACACTATAAACTCATCAAAGGAAAAATCCACCAAGAGGACTGTGGGAGCCCACAAAGGTTTCCTAGTGAGATCTGAACTTGCTTTACCCAGCAGGACTGTATAAGAAGATGATTGGACCATGGGCCTGGCTACCAGGTGTTTGGAAGGGTCTGCATTTGGCTATAACTAGCAAGGGGGGGGTCTTTTTGCCTCACCCTTGGCATTGTTATAAAAAGCCCTTTTGAATAAAGTTCTGGGCTGTTGGGTATTGACCCAGGTCCCCCCGAAGCTATCCTGTGTTTCTATCTTTCTTCTTCTTGTCTAGGCCTATAATTCTATCTACAAGTTTCTTATTCCTCTCTCCTCCTCATAGGAAACCTTTAAGAAGTGGGATCAGTTCCCCCACAGAGGATGTTGCAATTCTAAACAATTTTGCACCAAATGTGCAGGCATATAAGTTCATAAAAGAAAAGTACTACAGCTGAAATCACATCTTGACCTTCACATAGTGATAGTAAGTGACTTCAATACCTGACCCTACTCTTGTCAATAGACGAGTAAATCCAGACAAAAACTGAACAGAGAAATGTTGGACCTAAATGATATCATAAATCTAGCAGATGTTTACAAAATAGTTCACCCAAACATAAGAGAATATACTTTCTTCTCAGCAGCTCATGGAAAATTCTCCAAAACTTACTACATATTTGAACACAAAGCAAGTCTCAAAAGATATAAGAAAATTGAAACAACACACTACATCCTAACTTACCACCATAGATTAACTAGATGTCAACAACAATGGAACTAACAGAAAGTTTACAAACTCACGTAAACTGAATAACTCATCACTGAATGAAAGATGGTTCAAGTCATAAAATTAAGATAGAAATTAAAAAGTAGTGAGAATTTAATAAAAAGGAAAATACAAGATCTTCATACCTATAGGACAAAATGAAGGCAGTTCTAGGAGGCAATTTCATAGCTCTAAGTGACTACATAAAAATGAAGGATCTCATATTAGTTACCTAGTGACATATATGAGAGCTCTAGAACAGGATGAAATCACACCTAAAAGAGCAGACAGAAAGAAAGAATCAAGCACAGAACTGAAATCAATAAAATAGAATCCAACATCCACCACTACCAACAACAACAAACCAATACAAAGAATAAAAATGAAAAGTTGGTTCTTTGAGAAAATCAATAAGACTGATAAAGACTTAAATTAACTAAAAGGTGAAAAGAGAAGTTCCAAATTAATAAAATTAGAGGTGAAAAGGAAGAGTTCACAACAGACACAAAGGAAATTCAGAGAATCATGAGGGCATGCTTTAAAAATTTATATCCCACCAAAGTGTAAAATGGTTAAATTTCTTTTTTCTTTTTTTTCAAGACAGGGTTTCTTTGTGTAGCTTTGCGCCTCTCCTGGAACTCACTTGGTAGACCAGGCTGGCCTCGAACTCACAGAGATCCACCTGCCTCTGCCTCCCGAGTGCTGGGATTAAAGGCATGTGCCACCACCGCCCAGCTAAATTTCTTGATATGTATGACTTACCCAGTTAAATCAAGATCAGTGAAGCAACTCAAACAGCCCCACAGCCCCAAGTGAAACAGAAGCAGTAACTGAGTCTCCCAACAAAAATCAGCCTAGTGCCTAATAGTTTTAGTTCAGAATTCTACCAGACCTTCAAAGAAGAATCAATGCCACTAGTTCTCAAATTATTCCACAAAATAGAAAAAGAAGGAACATTTCTGGATAGGTACCACATACAAAAATTAAATCAAGACCAGATAAACAATTTAAATAGACCGATAGCCCCTAAGGAAATAGAAACAGTCAATAAAAGTCTCACAACCAAAAAAAGCCCAGGACCAGATGGTTTCAGTGCAGAATTCTACCAGAATTCCAAAAAAGAGCTAATACCAATACGCCTCAAATTATTTCACACAATAGAAATGGAAGGAACATTACCAAACTCTTTTTATGAAGCTGATATCCAAACCACACAAAGATGCAACTAAGAAAAAGAATTACAAACCAATCACAACATGATGCAAAAATACTCAATAAAATACTGGCAAACCAAATCCAAAAACACAACAAAAAGATTATCCACCATTGTCAAGTAGGCTTCAACCCAGAGATGCAGGGATAGTTCAACATATGAATATCTGCCAATATAATCCACCATATAACCAAACAGAAAGGAAAAAAACACATCAACATCTCATTAGATGCTGAAAAGGCCTTCAACAAAATCTAACACCCCTTCATAATAAAGGTCTTGGAGAGATCAGGAATATGAGGAACATACCTCAACATAATAAAGGCAATATACAACAAGCCAATAACCAACATCAAACTAAATGGAAAGAAACTCAAAATGGTTCCACTAAAATCAGGAACAAGACAAGGCTGTCCACTCTCTCCATATCTATTGAATATAGTACTCGAAATTCTAGCTAGAGCAATAAGACAACAAAAGGTGATCAAAGGGATATGAACTGGAAAAGAAGAAGCCAAAGTATTGCTCTTTGCAGATGATATAGTATAGAGTACATAAGCAATCCCAAAAATTCTACCAGAAAACTCCCACAGATGATAAACACCTTTAGTGATGTAGCTGGATACAAGATTAACTAAAAAATCAGTAGCCCTCCTATATACAAATGATGAAAAGGCTGAGAAAGAATTCAGAGAAACATCACCTTTGACAATAGCCACAAATAATATAAAATGTCTTGAGGTAACTCTAACCAAACAAATGAGAGTACCAGGGGCAAGGGTCAGGCTGGAATAGCAATAACAGTTCTAGGAGAGAGGAGACAGGCCAGCAGAAA